GTCTTAGACCGTTTCATCGCCGGCTGCGACTGAACCGGAGCTTGCCTCAGCTCACGCATCTGCAACTCAATCTCTAACTCACGCCGCCTGGCGGCCTCCTGCAACTCCAGCAAGGTCCCGCACCTCTGCGCGGACACAAACTGTCTGATGTCTCTCTTTAGCATACTCAGATATCGGGACATCTGAGCCTGCTCCGAAGCGAACTCAGGGCAAAACATCGCCCTCTCAGTAAACATCCTGGTGATTTCCGTCACCGACTCCGAATCCTGCTTCAGCTCGAGGAACTCCTGAGCCAACCTCTCCCTCTCGACCTGCGGAACATAACGAGTACTGAACATCTCTCTGAACTGATCCCATGAAATCGCAGCCCTCTGCGCATCCGAGTATGACCCCGTGATCAATCTTCACCAATCCATTGCCCCGAGCCTTAACAGGTTCAGAGCGCACCTCACCCTCTGATCAGCAGGGCATGAACACGTGAAGAAACATCCCTCCACATCTGATAACCATCTCATAGCAACGATCGTGTCCTGAATTCCATCAAAGGTGGGGGGGCTTCATATTATCGAAGTCTCGATACTAAAAACCTCTACTAGCTCCTCCCCATGCCGCTGCTACAGCCGCTATAGCCGTCGCGGCAGTCGTCTCCGTGAGAGCCGCATAGCGCTCATCAAAATACTTCACCATGGCGGTCTTGATCGACCCAAACAACTCCGGCAGTTCGGCCCGAAACAATGCAGCAACCTCATCATGTAGGATCTCACGAATCCTCGCATCCAACTCGTGCGTACTCATCTGACTGACAACCTCGGGCTGAACGAACCCACCCGGAACTCCCTCTCCTGCTCCTGATCCTGACCCGGATCCACTCCCAGCATGCCCTGAAGTCTCCATACTGAAAATAAACCACCAGAAATCTCAGACACATCCCCACTATCTCGGGAACAAACTCCTAACCCCACCCTAGAGGTCATGGTTTCCCTGATACGCGTATGGGTCCTGTGCTTTCAGTAGTACGGGCCCATACTACCTTCCACACCTACCCATATTTGTATGAAGTACTTCCACAACACCCTAGTAACATATATACATAGCAAGCGCTCGATCCTCACTCCTTGAGGAACACTGGAACCCTCAATAGAGGAACCCTAGGCTAACAGGCGTCACATAACAGGCAACATTATCATGAAATCCTGAAGATCCCTAGCCTATCACTAGCATGTTGTTCTATTAAAGCTCCAATAAACAAGTTCATGAATGGTAATTTGGGGTTACTTACTAGCTCCGGCTGATCGTACCTCCGTGTCCTCCTTTACTTATTTTGAAAACCATTTCAAATTCTCTTTTGAAAACCCTCCTCGATTTGAGACTGGAGTCACACAAGTGTTCCTCCAATTCACTCAAACCAAGGCTCTGATACCAACTTGTAACGACCGAAAAATACAAGCAATTTAAATTTTTCAAAAACAACCCGATTTCATTAAATTGTTTACAAAAGGTTTTCAATACAAATCATTTAGAGTATTCCCAGAATCACGTTGCTACAAAATCATGAGGAACGGTACGATCACGCCTTCGCCTTGCCACAGTCTCCGGAAGAACCTGAAAACATTAAACCACAACTGTAAGCCTGAAAGCTTAGTGAGATACCCCCAAAATACCAACCACATATACGCCCTTCCAGGCTACGACCTTCCGGTCCAAAACATATTGCCTTCCGGCCCATAACATATAAAACATTCATAACATAACAGAACATAGAACATCCATGCATATCGGGTCTATTGTGTGACTGGTCCGCCGTATCCGACCTTCAGTCCACCGGATCCATCCTCCGAGTCTAATCATGTCCTTCGAGTCTACAGTGTGGTTGGTCCGCCCGCACCGGGCCTTCAACCCACCTGGTCCACTCTCTGAGTCTACAACGTGACTGGTCCGCCCGCATCGGGCCTTCAGTCGGTCTGGTCCACTCTCCAAGCCTCGGCACGTCTGGTCCGCCCTCGTGGGGCCTACAGCCTATCTGTACCGCTCGCAGGGCCTTCGGAATAACCAGTCCGCCCTGGGTATCTTGGCCTACAGTACAAAGCAGGACCCGCCTCAACCCATCTCCAGTCCAAACAACCATGTGCACATAACATACAATCATATAACAGTCATAGTCAACAAACCGAACAAGAAGATCACATAGCATATCATCACCCTAACCATGTTACCGACCTAACCGGTCACTAGCATAGCATCACTCTACATATTGGGAAACGGACCTTAACTAGGTCTCCAGCATATACCATCCTAGCTACCAGGATGCAGACATATCAAACAATAACATAATAACCATATTCGAATCTTAATCCAATAAAGGGCCGGCCTTGGTGCCTTAGACCCTGTTGATATAGTGAGGATAACTCACCTTGAAACTGTCGGCTGTGAGGATAAGATCCTGCTGCTCCGAACTCCGACACGAACTCCTCCACTGAACACCAAAACACTCAATTCAATATATACCCTTATTTACCAAAATACCCCTGGAAGACAACTGGTCAACCCCTGGACAAGGTCAAAGTCAACCCCTAACTGACTCTACTCGCCGAGTCAACCCGATGACTCGCCGAGTCCCCAAGCTCAGAACTTCCCTCAATCCGCGACCTGACTCGTTGAGTCACCCCGAGACTCGCCGAGTCCAACCACTTTGAGTCTACTCGCACCCAACTCACCGAGTCATCCCTTGACTCACCGATTCTCGACTCAACCAGAAATTATTGGGACTCTTCGACAAGACTCATCGAGTCCAAGAACAGACTCGCCAAGTCTAAGGCTATCTTCAACCTACTCGCCGAGTTGTTCATCCAACTCGTCGAGTTCCAGCTCATCTTCAAGCAACTCGTCGAGTCCACCTTTATGACTCGCCGAGTACCACCGGTCTGAATCCATACAGAAGCATTCCAGGCCATGCAATTGATCCAAAACATAGATCTAGCCTCCTACAATCCATTCATCACGTAAAGTGGCAAACTTTACGTGAATCCATGAAGATCTAGGCATAATACACATTAGGGCTAAGGTTTGGGACAAGATAGCTTCACTACATACTCAATCACAGGGACTTTCAGGCATTCCAACCCTTCTCTATTCCAGATCTGAGGTAGCCACCTCATATCTAACCTCTAGACTCCAAAACACCAATAGATGTGATCTCAACACCCCCAAAAATGAAGAATCTAGACAATAGCGGCTCAAGAACGAGATATTACCTTCAAAGAATGCCCCAACAGCAATGAAACTCGAATCCAAGCCTTTTCTCCTTCAAGATTTCTTTAACTAGCACTTCTCCAAGCTCCAATTTGCCCAACAATGGTGTTCCTCCATGAAATTAGGGTTTTTGGGGCTCAAGGGGGGATCAAAGAGGCTGGGGAGGAAACATAATGTTCTTTATATAGGGCTCAACCCCGAGAATTAGAGTTTTCTCCACTCAGCACCTACTCGCCGAGTCCATCTTTGGACTCGCCGAGTAGATCACTTGACACGCGACCAAAGTCGCGACCTGACTCGCCGAGTCCATTAATGGACTCGCCGAGTTGCCCTCCAAAACTTGCACTTTTAGCCCTTCAACTCTGCTCTTGCGATTCCGGGATGTTACAGTTGCACTATTATTGATGAGATATTCAATTCTAATTTAGAATTTTTTGGCTAAATATCGCTCGATCTCATATTCGAACTTCGGGTTGTCTACTACTAAGCTGAAACTTCGAAAAATCATAACTTCCTCATACGAAGTCAGATTTGGGCGTTCTTTTTATGCACGCTCGCGGTTTAACATATTATACGACTTTCATTTAGATCACTAAGGCTAAATATCGCTCTATCGTAAATTCACTATTTACGCCGCGCTGTGTCGTACCCGTTCGTCGCGAAACTTCGATAGGTCATAACTTCTTCGTTATAACTCAGATTTCAACATTTTTTTATATTTTCGGAAACCTCGTCACAACAATTACGTCTTCATGTATCGATATCGGGCTTATCTAACATTTCATTTTCACACTTATTTTCATTCTTAATTCATTCAAGCCACATAATTAAGCAATTAAGCATAAAACACATAATACTCAAATAATACATTATTATTATTATTTCAAAATGGGTTACAAAGGTTAACCTAGACTATTACATTAACAATAATGTCTAGCCTGGAAACACGGGCGTTACATGGGAGACTGTTGGATTAGTGTCTAAGTCCATAACTATATTTGGTATGTACTTGACTCGGTTGTAGCATGGTTCTTTTGGGTTGCCTTCACCGGAACAACTTGACTGGATGATTAACGGAGAAAGCGGATATTATGGTTTATTAATATATTATATGAATAATATATTAAAAGAGAAATCATATTGATTAATTAATATTGGTCAAGAATTAATTAAGAAATTAATTTTGTGATCAAAAGATATTAATTAAACTTAGGGGACTGTAATTGCAATTATAAGATAATTGGATTTTGAGCGGAGGATCCCTTAGAAGGGGGTGGACGAAATCAAGGTGGAAGCCTACATAGATTACGTCTAGGCCTTGTTCTGGAAGGTTTATTTGGACTGCTTAAGGCATAAGTTATCCAATTAGGGTTTTGACTGAAACCCTAGCAACACCACTATATAAGGAACCCCTAGGGCTTCAGAAATCGGCAACTTGAAACCCTAAGAAGTCTTAGAGCCGATTTTGATCCCCTCATCCCCTCTCTCCAAGATCATCCAACTTGCTTTGGTGTTTGTGATCCATTAGAGGCATCACATTTGAGGTGCTAGGTTCGCATAAGCTAAAGATCTTCAATCTACAATCAAGGTAATCATCTAAACTTGTTTTATTTGATATTTTTGGATTTTGTATGCTAGATCTAGGGTTTGTAAGCTTTGGATAATTTGCACGTACAATATAGAAACCTAGATCCAAAGCTTTAGGGATTTCATGTGCACCATAGGATTGTTGTATTGCTCAAAACCCATCATTATGTCCTGTTGCGAGTTCCATAATGGATTGGGTGTTTAGGTGGTGTGGAATTCGTCATTCCAGCTTCTCGAGCATTTCTAACGTTCTTGTTTTGCTTATAACTGAGAAACTCTACAAAGAGAAGTAAGATGCTAATTAGCATTTGTTATGGCATGTTTTGGTGCATATGGAGAGCTTGTAATGACTGTGTGTTTAATAATATAAAAACCATTCTAGAGAGAGTGGCCGATATCATTAAATCTACAATGTATTTACGGTTTAAACATAGGAAAAAGGAAGGTGTTTGCAATTGGATTGTTGGATAGTTTCTCCTTTCCTTTACATTTGAAAGGGTTGTTTTGTTATTTATTTATTTTTTTTCCTATTTTGTAGCTATCTTGTGGTCTGGCTTACCTAGCTCCTAGCTAGGCTGGTTCTATTTCTTTTAATAAATTTGTTGGTCCCAAAAAGAAAAAATATATATCTTGTTTATCTAAATTGGTTTATACATCCAAGTGTGCACGTTCAAATACACATGTATATAATTATGTGTACATATATACTTTTCATGTTATATATATATATATATATATATATATATATATATATATATATATATATATATATATATATATATATATATATATATATATATATGTTTACTTGTACATATTATAATCAACCAATCAATTCTTATAGGCAACGAGATCAAATTGCCCGAACAATGACCCTATAATTATGTATACATATACACAATTTATGCTTCTTTAAATTGTAATTTCTTTAAACCTTCAAATTGACTCGATGTTACCGTTTTCAAGAGACACTAACTCAGTGAGTCGAAGCATAAGCAAGTCAAAATCATCTTGACTCTTGATAAGACTTAGTCTGACATAACGATCTTTGGCCTTATACGTACTTCCAGTGCGACCTATAATTTTTCCTGCTTCTAATACCGCATGACAATCATCCTCTTCTTCTCGCTCACATTTTACCCATGCGTAAGCTACAATGATTATCATAAGTCATATATTCTTCTAACTGTTTGACCATAAAAGTCAAAATTACACAAATAAAAGGTAATATTACCTGGAGATGGTAGTCTGGTTTCGTTAAAGAAATTGCAATGCAAAGGATCTCTCTTTTGGATTGAAAATCTGGTTGACTTGGAGAAGACAGAAGTCAACCTATCCCAACGTTGTCTCATTTTATCATAAGCAAATTTGAAAAGCTGTTTACCATCGTCTTCAACGGCTACTTTTAGAAGCTTCAAAACTCTCAATTGGGTGTCCTTTGAAATCCCCAAATCAGCCACTTGGATATATGTCGAAACTTTCTCATATACATCCTTATCTTTTATCACCGCCCATCTACAATAATGGTGTATATACAAACTCTCATTATATAAAATCCGTATGACAAACAACAAGTAAAAATCTTATATAAAATATAAAATATGTGGTTTCCTTAATTGGAGAGATGAGAGATTCAAATTTGATACACTAAAATAAAACCTACCCAAAACGCGCACCAGCATGACCTGTGAGTTTTGAAAGTGTAAAGATCATGAAATCGTGATCTGAAGGAGCTGGAATCGGTGTAAAATGTGGCCAAAAATAAGCATGATCGTATATTGTCTTCCCTCCAATAACCGATGTCTTTAACTCCCCATCTGGATTGTTTGGAGAGGTTACAAATTCAATCACATCCATGTTGTTTGTCGCATTATTCAATTTCCATGAGTTTGTATCTCCTTCAAATTCAAAATCTTCCGAATTAAAGAACAATGTTTGAGCCTCATACATCTATAAATCATCAAACAACGAATCCAATCCATATATCAGAAGAAAAAAAACATTGCGAATGGAGTTTTTAGAGTCATTAAACTGGTTGTTTACCGGATAATATGGAATTGTAGCCACGACATTTGAAGGAGAAGAAGAGTTTTGGGAGGAAAGAGCATAAACAGCTGCACTAAGGAGTTGAGATGATCCGATACCAAATACCAAATATCTTCCTTCTGTAATTGCATTCCCCACAATGGAATGTATTTTATGGATGTATTTCTCCACCTCCAATGACATCGTGGACATGGAAGTGTAGCCAGCATAACTGTAACTCATTCGATGCCATCCTGATACAACAATCGCACTGTCCTCTGCCTTTTGCATCCAAAATGGCTCCAAAAATATAGGATCACCACTGCAGAAAAACGATCGTAAGCGTGATATTTAAATCCAATTCATCGTGAAATCTATGTAGTTTGCAGAATTTAGGTTTCTCTGTTATTTTAACAACCGTATACAATTAAACAGATCGAACCTTTAGAACAAGTATTAGCAGTTTGAATCACAAATTCATCGTAAAGTCAATGAAAATAGAATATGAAGGAATCACGCACCTATCAGCGTCGGCAGAACAACCGGGAGAGAATTCAGAGCAATCAATACCGCCATAGCAAGTATAGCACTCACAAACAGTTTGACCATCAGAAATCAAACTATCAAGGTAAGCTCTGCCATGGCCGGAGCATGAGATTGCTGCAACCGCTTCCGCCTCCGCAGCTGCTTTTTCAGTCCAAGTCAACGAAGGACGATAAACAATCTCAAGGTTCTTCTCTCCCCGCTGTAGAGCTCCTCCACCTCCACCTAGGTACAGATTTATGCTGAATAATATATTAATCACTATCGAACTCAATAAACAAATTCCATAACAATATTTCTTCGTTTTCCCCATTCTAGTTTTGCCGATTCATGGAGGTTTGTTGATATTTTTGTAGATGCTGAAATGAAAAGATCAAACGTTTTAGACGTTGATATTAATGGGCATGTGCGTCCAGATAATTGAAATGAACTGAGCTTCTAGAGACGAGAATTCTGATATATAATAATAATAATAATAATAATAATAATAATAAAATAATTATTATTATTATATGTATTACTGTATATGATAAAACCCAAAGTTGATTCTTTTGGTTATATACTAAAAGGGTAATTCTAACCGCACGACTTGAATTCCAAATGCACGAATTTTCATTGAATCGATATATATCACTGAAAAATCTGACAATTTTTAATATATTAAACTAAAAAAATGTTACTTTTCAATTTTCGTTTAATGCTCTTATATTTATATTTGATTTTCAAATCATACCTTATACTTTTTGAAACTTTAGCTTTTATATATATATATATATATATATATATATATATATATATATATATATATATATATATATATATATAGTTAGGTTATCTTGTTTTTATTAAGTATTGTGTGTGTATGAAATTAATTCCGAACCAATCATTTGGGATAATTTAGGTAAGGGTTCTATATTTATTAACTAATTAAAAATAATCAATTTAATCACACAAATTTCACCGTAAGAGTATTCAGGATAATTAAGTATATTTAAATAAAGAAAATTTTAGAAATTAAGGGATAATTAGATCTCCTAAAAGTATGTACAAAGTCTATCATCTACTATAATAGAGAATACAAGAAAGATAATAGAGAGATTTGATTGTATTTTGTTAAAACTATGTAGTTTTTAATGGATCTATATCTAATATTAGGTACATAACATTCACATATTCCCTAATCTATATATATATATATATATATATATATATATATATATATATATATATATATATATATATATTGATGCGTCAGCTGTTCTTCAAGAGGGATCCTAGAAAAAAACATTCCTACGGGAAAGTTAGTAGATAGACTTGGGTTATTCGAGGTGAGCTAAGGGAAAACGGCTTACTCTTCCGGGTACTGGAGGAGGCCTTTTATACGAAGGTCTCTTATAAGTCCGTACGAGACAAAGGCATCAGATCCGACTGGATCGGATACGTAGATTGGGCAATCGTGTTTCTCATTCTCTCAGAGCTAACAATTGGTTCAAATGGTAATGCGATGAAGATCCCCCTTGTCATCTGGAGCTGTTATGCTTTTCCGCGGAGCAGAAGGCGTCCCTGAAGGGGTCGAGCCTTCTTTGTGGGCGCCTTGCGCTTGGAGACGTCCGCGGGCACAAGGTTCCGTTGGGCTGGCTATACAAGGCGTAGTTCTGCCTTGGGGAATCCAAAATGTTTGTCATATATATATATATATATATATATATATAGAGAGAGAGAGAGAGAGAGAGAGTCAAGATCAAATAAGAAGGAAATTTTTGATAGGAAGGTAAGAAGTTTTTTTTCTACATATTTTTTTGACGAACAAAATAAATGAATCACTAGATGATTCATTTCTAAGATGATTCACAAGAAAAAATTCTTAAAAAAACATCTTTATGATTCATTTATACAATGATTTTGTTGTTATTCACTAAAATTATCATAAAAATGAATTTTTTCTTAATTTACTTAAAAATGAATCATAAAGATGTTTTTTTGAGAATTTTTTCTTGTGAATCATCTTAGAAATGAATCATCTAGTGATTCATTTATTTTGTTCGTCAAAAAAATATGTAGAAAAAAAACTTCTTACCTTCCTACCAAAAAAAATTTCTTACCGGATCTATATCCTATATATATATATATATCCTATATATATATATATATATATATATATATATATATATATATATTCTATATATATATATATATATATATATATATATATATATATATATATATTAATTACCTTATAAAGCATTTTTGGTCAAATGCTGGATATTAAGTCGTACAAACATACAATGCATTTGTACAATCAATTTATGCATTACAAAAAGAGTAGAGTACATATGGTCAACATTTGAAAAGGCCAAATCTCTTATCCCCTATTCTTAGGTTATTTTGACCCGGTTCATTACTTATCTCCGTATTTCCCCAAATCTCGCAATTTCTGTTCACAAATCTTGGATATATATCGCTGACGTTTCCATTTCTAGGGTTTAATTCATCTTTCAGCATTCAACCACCATTGTCACACCCGTCGCTTGGCGCGTGTAACGGCTAGTGTGTGTATGTCTATATATATATATATATATATATATATATATATATATATATATATATATATATATATATATATATATATATATATATATATATATATATATATATGGGTAAAGTTAATATACCTAACAACCTTATATAAGCTTAGGTATCTAACCACATTATACTACATTGTTTTGCATTATATTTCCATTACAATCGTCTAAGGTTCTTAAACTCCAACCCTCAACTTGATTTACTTCCAAGATTTTTAGACATTCACCATTATATTCCTCCTACACCATTTGATTTGTAACGGTAGTATACGAAGCCCGCTAGGGGGTCTCCGATAGAAAGACGTCATTTGAAGGAAGATAATGGTGAAAGTCCAAAGATTTTGGAAGCAATCAAGTTATGAGGTTGAATTTTAAGAACTTTGGGTGACTACAATGCAAATATGATATAAAATTACATAGTATAATGTGGTTAGGTACATAAGCTTATATAAGGTTGTTAGGTATATTCACTTTACCCTATATATATATATATATATATATATATATATATATATATATATATATATATATATATATATATATATATATATATAGTTAGTATGGGATTTCATGTTTTCAGCGTTCTTTTGCCATTTTCTTGGGTTTTCTTAATACACATTACATTATGATTAGTTTACTTAATTTTGCTTAAATAAATGTTGTTAGCAAGGGATTAGGAAAGCTATAAATTGTCGGTTGTTAATAATATGAATTTTTAAAATAACAAAATATATTATTAACGTTTTGATGAAAAATAAATTTATTGAAAATGGTTAGAATACATACTAATACTAAAAATAAAATATAGAGCTTTAATGTTTTAAATGATATTATTTTGAAAATATTTATAAGACTAATATAGTTTTTTTAAGATCTATATGTATTTTTAAGAAAATAAGCCAATACTAGCTTACATAATAGTAAAAGTAAACATTGCAAACCATATAATTATTAAGATTATTAACGTAAAATTTCATCTATATATTTGAAATAGATAATGAAATTATTGGAGGGTGTGTTTTGTAATTTGTATCTAAGTGAAAGGGAGTAAATTAGAAAAGATATATAAAAATAATTGAAGTCTGTGAAGTAACCGAAGGGAGTGTTTACGCATCAATATTCTAAGATTTATACACGAATTTAATCGTGCGAATGGAGGACCCATATTAAAAATCAATGCGATACCAGATGCGATTATACTTGTCTATATCAACTATAAAGTAAAGACGTAAAGAGAAAAGAGAAAAGACAAATGACATTTGAATAATGAAAGATATAAGGCTGTGAATATTCAATCGAATTTAAAATGTGAGTGATCGATTTTCATTTGAATATGTGAATAGAACGAGAAAAAAAAACTCATTTTTAAACTTTTTTCCCAATAAATTTTGCAAATAATAAGCATTTTCCATCTACAACCACAATTTTACAGTCATATGAGCGACCCCCTATAAAATGTTCTAACTGTACCGTTTTTTAGCATTTTGTGATGGAGATCTCTATTTCGTAGGCCCCCTATGAAATCCTTTCATTCCTTGTGAAATTCTCATATTCCTTGCAGAATCCCTCATTCTCTACGAAATCTAGCATATGTATTGTAAAATCCAACCTTCGCAATACGAAATCTAGTTTCCGTATGAATACGAGCGAAACTTTTATTATAAATTCTATAAAATGTTCATAATATGTGCTAATTTTCAGTAGTTGTAACAAAAAAAAAAGTTCTGAGAGAAATAAGTTTCTAGAACAAGATTTTTTATGTTTGCATTGGAGGCTGAGACATATAATGGCCAAACTCAATATATCAAATAAAATGGTAATAACTATGGTGTATATTTTGCCACAAATGTAAACTTAGTTGTGTTGTTATATGTGGTGTCAATGAAGATATGTTTTCAAGATATTTCTAATATCATAGTCTTTCTAATATCCTCATTTACACTATGTTATAAAAATAGTTGACAATGGTGACGTCAAACATCGTATGCACGTTGTTTGTAGAACCAAAAATATTGTAAATATGTATTTGGTTGAAGATTTGGTTTCCTACGTACATAAATCTACTCGAATGTGGAAACCCATTTACTGGATGAGGATGTGGTGGAAATGGATCCCGTGGAAAAAGGTCCGGTGGAAATATATCACTTACAGGGAGCAACAATGAAGTTGCCTTTATCTCATATGCTTCAAAAATTTATTGTATATATAATACTACTGGAACCACTTCAAAAAATTTCTCAAGAAAATTGCAAGTATGTAAGTGATGATGATATTGCTTCATGTGAGTACTTCTCTTGTTAATGATATCAATACATCTCCTAATTAGGAACTAATAAAATATTGTATTAATTATCTTAGTTTGATAAAAGTAATTTCAAGGATCGTTAGTCGAGGGTGATTAAAGTGACCATTGAACAAAAACACCTTTATGTGACATGCCTCCTCCAGTTCCATGTCAAGACCTCGTTCATGATCACTATTGTTAGGTGAATTTCATGTACCCATTTTGTAGCTTTATTTTATAAAAGTACATTGCATATAGGCTTAAACTCAAGCATTTTGCATGTTTTTCGGGATTTTTCATGAGGCAATTTCATTCAAATACTTTTGTGATATTTTAGGGACTTTTGGAGGAAGGATATTGTTGGAGGAGGTAAATAAAAGTTGCGGACAAAAGTTCAGGACTTGCGGAGCACTGAGGAGCAAGATATCAAAGAAATGAGGATTTTGGCTTTACAGACGTTTACACGGCCGTGTAAATGGAAGCCTTGCGTTTACGCGGGCCGTGTAAACGTAGATTTCTGCGCAGTATATTTTTGCGTTTACACGGGCCGTGTAAATGACAGTGTTAATTTACGCGGGCCGTGTAAACGTAAACGTGAGTTTTAAAGCAGTTTTTCACCATTCTTAAA